CATTTTAACATTTCTGAAATGAGGTTAGTCAGTGACTTGATGATTTAAATTAGCAGGCTTTTCTCTTACTAGCGCATAAAATGTCTTTCCCCCAATTGTGTCTTGGATTTGAAGAAGCAGTGGCACCAGGAGGAGGGGTTGAGTGACCAGTGAGTCATCCATTTGAGGACCAGGGAGAGGGGTTCTGGATGGTTACAGTTAACCATTGAGCTCTCTGGGGGCAGAAGGCAGGAGTCAGCTTGCCATCCCACCTGTGGATGCTGTGGATCTGATTTTTTTTCCTAGTAGCCTTTATCAGCTGTCATTGTTAGCATTTTGTTGCAAGATTTAAAGTGCTCATAATGTGAAGGAAAGCACATAGCACAGACAAATGTGTAGGATCCGAGCTATCTATTTAAAGGGGGAAATCTCTGTCCTCACGGTTTTGTGTGTGAAGCATGTTTAGGGTTAATGTTGTGTGTGTATACATCTGTGTTTCCATGTGTGCATTTAGGCCTTTTGTTTACAACAGAAAACAACGTGCCTGATGGTTAATAGTGCTCATTTAAATAGTAAATTCCTGACTTAGACAGCATATTCAGGAATCCCAACCACAATTAAAGAAAAACCAAATGGTATAAAATTGTATGAAAACAAAGAGTAGGGAATCCAGGAATAGACCTACAGATATACTCCCAGCATTGCCGGGTTTCTATTCTCGAGACTAAAAGGCTCAGGGGTTACTCCAGTTAAACTGGGCTAACTGGGCTGCACGAAATAACCACAGAAGAGACACAAATACCTTTTTCTTTGGGGTCACTGTGACGGCTCCTCTGACCTTAAGGGTCTGCAGAAAGAGAGAGAGAGAGAGTGAGCGCAAGAGCACGTGTGACCCCTTTTATTGAGGAGAAGCTATTCAAATGAGGCAGGGGGTCAGGTTTCAGGGGGCTGAGTCTATCTTCATGATGTCCACTGTCAGCAGGTTGACTGACACCTGGGTTGGCCACACCCAAGGGCACAGTAAGAGAAGGGGACACACACACAAGGCACTTCCATGGAAGATTCTATCCTAAACAGGGCAGGGGTTATGTTACAAAGGAACCAGTGAGAATAGCTTCACCCACGGAGCTGTAGCAAGACACACCCATGCACAAGACACCGACCCTCGCACCCAAGAAGGGTGGGGAAAGCTCTGCCACATTTCTGCAACTGAGCGCCTCAGCACCCAGCTGGGGAGTGTAACCCAGTCCCGTGTAAGGTTGGTCTCCCACACAGCATTTTTTTTTAAACTACTGGGACTTGAACCCAGGGCTTCTCACATACTAGGGATGCACTATACCACTGAACTACATCCCTAGCCGTTTTAACTTCTTATTTAGAGACAGGGCTTGCCAATCTGGCCTTGAACTGATCCTCCAGCCTCTGCCTCCTGAGTTCTGGGATTGTAGGGATGCACCACTGTGCCTGACTCCAGCAGGTTTTTTGACAAAGGAACAAAACTATTTGAAGATGTGCTATCCTTTTCACCTAATCGTGCTAGAGCACCTGGATATTGGTGGTAAAGAGAGACATATCTTGTCTTTGTCCCTGTTGGCTGACACAGAGCTGATGGCACTGGCATTTCCTCATGGGAGTATCTTGTACAAAAGGAGCCCTTTCAACTGCACTGAAGTTTGTGCTAGTGACATGTCTCGGGTGGGTGGCCTACCTTGTATCGGGATGGGTGCTGGTTGTGAGAAAGTCAGTGAGAATTTGAAGCCCCATGAGACTCAGAGAGCTTCTAGGTTGGTGAACACAGTGTGTGCTCTGAGTGTCTTGTGCCCTGAGGGCCACATCAGCCAAACCTTTTCCTGGGTATTTCTTCCATTTAACTGTACCCTTTGTAATAAACTGGTAAGTATGATTGTTCTCCTGTGTTCTGTGAGTTCTAACAACTTAATTGAACCTGAGGTGGGGACCAAGAGGCCCCCTAGCACAAGTGTGGGTAGCCTGTAGCTGTGCCCAGTGGCTCATGCCTATAATCCCAGCGACTTGGAAGGCTGATGCAGGTCGATCACAAGTTCAAGGCCAGCCTCAGTAATTTAGTGAGATCCTAAGCAACTCGGCAAGACCCTGCCTCAAAATAAAAGATTAAAAAGGGCTGGGATGTGGCTCAGTGTTGAAGTGCCCCTTGCTTAAATCTCCAATCCCCCCCCCCCCCATAAAGATGGGAGGTAGATAGCTTGTGGTGTCTGAAACAGGACTGAGGCTTTACTTTCCAGTTTGCAGTGATTCTGGGTAGAGTATCTGAAAAGGGTTGAACACTTAAGACACCCAGTTAGTGTTGCAGAATTGTTGGTTTTGGAACAAACCATTCATTGGTGTCAGAGAACGAGACACCTCAACAACTATAATGGAAAAAGGACCTCAACATAAACCTCACGTCTTACTCAAAAATGAAATTAGTGGTGGACTTAAATGCAAAAGGTAAACTATTGTAAAGTTTTTAGGAAAAATATAGGAGGAATCCTTTAAGACTTAGGGAGTAGACAAAGAGTTGTTAAAATTGACACCAAAAGCATGATCCGTAAAAGGAAAATTTGCTGAATTGGATGTCATCTAAGTTTAAATTCTTTGTTCTGCTGGAGAGCCTGTTAAGGGCATCAGAAGTCAGGCAACAGACTAGGAGAAAATGTTACCAAAATACATAATTTTTCCATTAGACTACCAATTCTCAGGGGCAGATGGAGAGTGGTCTTACTAATTTATCTTTAATGTTGCTTAACGTATGTATTTTTTAAATCATTATTGGAAATAGTTCAGTTCACAGTGGGATAATTTAGACAGAATAACTTATTGCCCACCAATGTTTAAGGAGATCATATCATTTAAGATGTTGGCTAAATATTTGCCCAGTCCATGGTATATGTAATGATGACACATGATTACATATATAAGTGGTATCAGTTTCAATTCCTGAAGCTGCTATTCTATTTCAGGATCTTAATACTATTCCCTTTGGGTAAAGTGTCCTAACAAGTCATCAATCTCTTTCTCCTAAATTTTTCTATTCTCCACCTTTTCCACAAATCACCTGTATGCTTTCAAGTTGTCTTCCTATTTTCACAGCTTTAATCAGAATTTRACCAAATTATGCTATTTTTTAATATTTCTTTTTTAGTTGTAGTTGGACTAATTAATTTATTTATTTTTATGGGGTGCTGAGGATCCAACCCAGGGCTTCGCCTGTGCTAGGCTAGCGCTCTACCGCTGAGCCACAACCCCAGCCACAAAATTATGCTATTTTCATATATTAATATACCGTAATGAATTTCACTTTACGTATATCTATAAAGCACCAAGTTAAAAAGTACTATAAATAAATAGAAAGGATACCAGTAAAGTAGAGGAAAGGGAACAGGGAGAGGGAGGAGGGAAGGCTAAGAGGAAGTACTGGGGACTGAAGAGGAACAAATTATATTCAGTACATGTTCGATTCTGTCAGAATGAACCCCAATATTATATAATAATGCACTAATAAAAACACTGAAATAAAAACTGAAAAAAATGTAGCTGGTAAAGAACTTATGTTTAGATATGTAAATATACCTCAAATGCTTTTTCTTTTTTTAATATGTATTTTTTAGTTGTAGTTGGACACAATACCTTTATTTTTATGCAGTGCTGAGGATCCAACCCAGGGCCTCACATGTGCTAGGTGAGCATTCTACCACTGAGCCACAATCCCAGCCCCGCTTTTTCTTTTTTTAAATCAGAAAATAGGCAAAAGGAATTGAGTGGATATTGTACTGAAGAGGATATACAGATAACAAATAACCAAGAAAATATACTCAACATTAGCCATTAGGGAAATGTAAATAAAAAACCACAGTGAGATATGACTACATTCAAAATGGCTAAAATGAACAATAATGATAACACCAAATGTTAGTAAAAATGTGGAGAAACTGAGTCATGCATATGTTGGTGGTGGGAATGTAAAATGGTTCAGCTACTTTGGGAATTTTTTCTTTCTTTCTTTCTTTTTTTTTAACAATACTGGTGTACTTATATGCAACCTAGAGGTTGCATTCTTATGCATTTATCTCGCCCAAACTGAACAGAAAACCCCGTGTATGGATGTTCATAGCACCTGTATTTTCTAGTAGCAAAATATTGAAAACCCAATGCCTTTCAGCCAAGGAATGCTTAAAATTATTGTATACTATTGAATAATACTTAACAGTAAAAAAGAACAAACTATTGATACACACTGAAGATCTCAAGCTAATTACCTTCAGTGAAAAGAGCCAGACGCAAAAGAGACTGGGGCTGGGGTTGTGGCTCAGAGGAAAGATGGCTCACATAGCATGCAAGTCACTGGGTTCCATCCTCAGCACCACATTAAAAAAAAAAGTATTATGCCCACCTACAAGTAAATGGTTTTTCTTTTCTTTCTTTCTTTCTTTCTTTTCTTTTCTTTTCTTTTCTTTTTTTTTTTTTTAAGGCATAGACTGTTAGTTACATCTATATGACATCCTGTAGAGACAAACCTGTACCAGGGACTACACATCCATTACTGCCAGGGGATGTGGGTGGGGAAGGTTTGATTAACTGCCCAGGGGGCAGTAGAACTAATCTTTGTCCTGATTGTGTTATGAGAGTTAAAATTCTCAACTGAATTCAAAAAAAGTCTCCTCTCTACTTCTTTGTCCTATGTGTGTCATCCCTGGCTCTAGGACTCTTGGTCCCTTCTCTGCGTGTGTCACCCAGGCTCTTCTAGTGGCGGACACTCTCCAGTCTCTGGTTTTTCTGTCTCTCTTTGCCAGTCTTTTGTCTCCGCCTCTCAGTTTTGGCGGTGGGGAGGTCGGGGGCGCTTTTCTATAGGCGTTTGTTTACCGGTTGCCATGGTATCGGAAGTGACGAAGGCGCAATTGGAAACGACGCAGGGGAGCCCTATCCTGATTGGCTGGCTCCTGTCAGCGGCCCCGCCCCGCCCGCGAGGGCCGGCCCACAGCATTGTGGGGGTCGTAGTCCGATGCGTGGCCCCGCGCGCACGCGCGTATCAGCGGCCGCCATCGCGGTGCTCTGCTCCGGCCGCTTGGGCCCGCCTGGATTCGCTGCGCAGCAGGTGGGTCCGGCTAACTGGCGGCGCTCTCCGGAGCCTTCTGTAAACGTAGGGCCCAAGTGCTGCGCCGTGTGAGGGGACTGGGCGCTAACCCGACCGGCAAGGGCCTAAGAGCCCCTCGAGGGCGTGTGTGGGCCCTCAGGTGGGAGCGAGGCCCCGAGCGTGGTGCTGGAGTGGGTGGGCGGGCAGGGGCCCTCGGTTGGGGCGTGACCCCGCAGCCTGGGGCCGAGGCTGGAGGGCGGGAGCCCTCGGGTGGGAGCGTGGCCTCGAGCGTGGTGCCGAGGTGGGCGGGGGCCCTCTGGTGCGAGCGCCCCCCGAGCTTGGGGTGGGGGCGGAGGCCCTCGGTGGGAACGTGACCCCCGGACTTGGCTGGGGCGGGAGAGGGGGGCCTTCCGGTGAGAGCGCGACCCTCGAGCGTGGTGCCGGGGCGGGAGTCCTCGGTGGGAGCGCGATCGCCGAGCGTGGGGCCGGGGCGGGGGCCCTCGGGTAGGAGCTTGACCCCCGAGGTTGGGGCCAGCACGGAGGGCCGGGGTTCACGTGTGAGCTTGATCCCCAGAGGTTGGGGCCGGGGTGGGAGAGCGGGGCCTTTGGGTGGAAGCGCGACCCCAGAATTTGGGGTCGAGCCCCGGTGGGAGGGCGACCTGGGGCCCTGGGTTCCTGAGTGTGTCTCAGAGAAGGTACTTGGGCGGATGAGAGGCCAGAGCCACTCATGTTGGGTGTTGGAGTTGGTTAACGTCGAGAGTACCCCCACTTTTTATGGGAGAACAGAGCCGGCTAGGAGAGGCCAGGTTGAACATTGGGGAGTATGGAGCTGGAGGGCCTGGGTGTCCTGTGCTGGGTGTCTGTGAGAAGCAGGGCTGAGGGCAAGGCAGGCTATGCACTCCTGGTGGGAGTGGGGAAAGGTCGCAGAGTTCTAGGGTGTCCCTTGTACCCCAGGGCAAATGCTAGCTGCTCTGGGGTGGTTTCTGCCCTGCGAGGGGCAGGGCAGTGACTCGGAGGCAGCCAGATACCAGCTTCTCCCCAGCCTCCKCACGTGGGTTCTGGTGTCAGGGACCCCTTTTTTGGGAAGGAAGATTCCCAGTCTCAGCATTAATCTAGGGGCTTGGGGTGGAAAGGAGAGCATCAGTCTTCCAGATGCTACCCCTGAAGGGGCCGCAGGGGGTGCCAGGCACCACTGAGAATTGGTTTTGTTTTGTTTTCCTTTAAGTCTTACAAAGTTTCATAGGAAAATGCTAAGTAAGGGTTGTAGAACTCTCCTTGCATTTTTTTTTTTTTTTTTTTGCCCACATGCACCTGGGAGTATTTTGTTCTTTATCCTCACCTCTTACTCTCCTTCCTGCCTCCTTTGTATGTCTGCTTTCTCTGATACCTCTCCTATCCTGACATGCCCTGTGGACATTCCTGTCACAGCTCTGGAGCCAGAACAGAACCCCTGTTGCACTGAATCCATCTCCTTATCCTTGGCTGTGTAGCTGCCTTGGTATTTCTGACCTTGAGGCTCTCTTGGGGACCCAGACCAGTTGTGCACTATTCTCGGTTCTGTGTGGCCTGCCAGAGAAAGTATGTTCTTGGCAGGAACCACAGAAGGCAGTGGAGATGCTCTGGTGATCCCTTCCTGCATGTGTATTTAATTCTTTTAAAGGTACATTTCCCCTTTTTACAAGGTATAAGCTATCTGTGGGTGAGTCTCTCTTTCCCATGTTTTTCCATGACCCTTAGCCCTGTGGCTGTGACTCTGGTAAAGGTGTTAAAGGGGCATTTTGTTTACAGGGCCCTGAGGAGGAACGGGGGCAGGGCTTGCCAGAAGGAGCTGCTGAGGGAGGGCAGGATAGAGGGCCTGTGGTGAGGATCCTTAAGTGCTGCAAGTTCTGGGAGGCACCTGGGGTCTCTGGCCAGCCCAGGGCTCTGGCAGGCCTCCAGGTTTATGACCCCTTAGCTTAGCCACCCACCCTTGGCCTCTCTGACCCTTGCTCCAGCCAGCTACCCCAGGAGAATGAATGAAAGTTCATTTCTAACCCTGAGGTAGAGAAGGAAACCCTTTTAACCCACTAACTCCTAGTTTTTCAATTCTGTAAATATTTCAGTGACTTCACACAGGTGATTTAAAATAGGTTGGCATTTGTAATCTAGAGCTTATGTTATTTTAATTAATGTTATGATTATATTATGTGCTACATTTAAGTTTTTATAGATGTTGCACATCCAGGACAATGGGAAGAAATGGGTTAAGCAAGTTTCTGAGCTCAGAAATTTAGATTTTGTTTTTAGTTTTAGATGGACACAATACCTTTAATTAATTAATTATTTTTTTAATGTGGTGCTGAGGGTTGAACCAGTGCCTCACACGTGCAGGTGCTCTACCACTGAGCCACAACCCCAGCCCTCAGAATTTTTCTTTTCTTTTTTTTTTAAAGAAATTGGATTGGTAAGAAATATTAGAACATAACGTGTGGTCAAAGACTGAAAAGAAGAGTCACAGGTAGGGACAATGGCAGGATGGAGGCAGACAGCTTGTGAATTATCTAACAGAAAAGCAGGAAGGAAAATGGAAAAGGCGGCAGTTTACCCACCCATAGGGATGAGGGTGTTCTAGAAAGTGCTGAGCTGTGAAGTGGGTGCTGTGTTCTGAGGGCCCTCGGTGCAGCAGGCAGGGGAAAGGGGCCCAAGGAAGGACACCTGGTGGACACTGCCATGGAGGGTGTGCACAGTGGTGGCCAGAATGGCGACCCAGGTGGTGGTGGAGGTGGTGGTTATGGAGATCATGGTGATGGTGGTTCTGGTGGTGAGGGTCTTTTTTCTGGAGAGAATTGGAACGTGTAGAATGTCTTCTTATAGCTCTTAGAATTCTGCCCTTATTTGTAAATGCTATTTTGCTAGCTACAAAGTGCTGGGGATGGAATTGAGGTTCACACATTCTAGACAAGTGCTCTACCAGTACCAGTGCACTACATCCCCAGACCTTTTAAATTTTGAGGCATGATCTTGCTGAGTTGCCTGGCTGGCCTCAAACTTGAGGTCCTCCTGCCTAAGCCTCCTGAGTAGCTGGGATTAAAGGTGTGCAAGCACTGTGCCTGGCTTTTCTTTTTTTAAAACAACTTTATTGAGGTATAATTTATGTACCATAAAGTTCACCTCTTTACAGTGGACCATTGATTGGTTTTTAGTGATTCACAGAGTTGTGTGCCTGTTACCAGTTAATTTTAGTACATTTTTATCACCCAAGAAAGAAATCCTATAACCATTAACAGTCGTTTCCTACCTTGAAAATCACAGTCCCCAGCAATCACTGATCCACTTCCTGTCTCTGCATTCACCTGTGCTGGACAGTTGCTCTCCGTAGAATTGAGCACCCCAGCCTGCCCACGAGACCCTCGGGCCTGCATGCTGGTGGGAAAGTGTATCAGACAGATCAGACTTGACAGAGGTCAGCAGCCCTCAGTCCCCAGCAGTCCCCATGCATGGTTTTTCTCTTGAATTCCTCAAAAGATGTGGTTGTTTCTGTGGTTCCAAGGGCAGCTGTCTTCTGGTAGATGGCTTCTTATTTGCTCCTCGTGGTGGTATCTGGGAGTTCTTCCTCCTCCTGGCTCAGATCTTCAGGCCCAGGTCGTGGGAGGACATGCAGATGCAGGCGAACTATGGCCTGCCTGTGTCTGTTAGCTTGGCCATGGTTGGCCAGCAGGTACAATGAAATGGCTTCACCCAGGCATCCTGGATTCTGGCCCCTCTGTGCCTAGGAGTTAAGGGGCTGGGGAAAGTTGGCTAGGACCAGAGCCTCCTCTTCTCCTTAATGCCCTGCCATCCCCACTCCTAGCCAATCTCTGATGACTCCCACCTTGTACTCTAGATCTGCAGAGCTGTCCACCTCCAGACGGATGTGGGCTTCCTGTGCCTACTGTCTTTCTGAATGCCTTTTGTTTCAGGTTTTTAGTTGTTTTAATGATAGAAATCCCAACACCTACCCCCCCCCCCCATCTTATTGGGCACTAAAGCCCTGTAATGCTTCTCCCCATCCCCCTGTACTGGGGATTAAACAAGTAAATACTGGGCAAGCACTTTGCCTCTGAGCTGCATCCCAGAACTTTTTATGTGTTATTTTGAGACAAGGAATATTACCAGTTTGCTGAGTCTCTCTTAACTTGGGGCCACTGGTGTGCACTCCAGTGCCTGGCTCATACATAATACATGTTGTTAAATGTGAAACAGGCCTGGCAGTTCAAATCTGATGCATGAGACTGACGTCGTGTGTATGATACGCATAGTGGGAATGAACGTTAATAAGTACAAAACTGGATGTTCAGCAGGCAGACTGCTTGAAAATAACTGCATGAGACCTGGGGTGGTGGGCCTGTGGTTGAACCCCGAGACCTCGGGTCCCCTACAGCTGTGTTCTTACCATGTGGGCCTCTGTCTCACCGCTGTCCTCTGCAGGTCCTTGGATCCTGTCACTGGCTGACCTTCCCTGGGGACCCTGCACCACTGTGTGTCCTCTGCTAGAGGCGGTCAACCTTTCCTTGGGCCCCTCACCCCTGGCATCTCTGAGCCCTTGGCTCCACACAGTCATATTTCCAGTGCAGGTTTGGGAAGATGCTGCCTCTGGAGAAGGTGTTGGCCTCCCCCAGAAGCTCCCCAACTCCCCCAGAGGTGGCCACCGAAGGGTCTGCAGACACAGACGGGTCTGCAGACACGAGTCAGCAAGAGGACCTTGAGTCTGAGACCATCCCTGAGAGGACCCCTGCGGACCTCGAGTTCTCTCGCCTGCGGTTCCGGGAGTTTGTGTACCAGGAGGCGGCTGGGCCCCACCAGACCCTGGCCCGGCTGCACGAGCTGTGTCGCCAGTGGCTGCGCCCTGAGGCCTGCTCCAAGGAGCAGATCCTCGAGATGCTGGTGCTGGAGCAGTTCCTGGGCATCCTGCCTGACAGGGTCCGCCCCTGGGTGGTAGCCCAGTACCCCGAGAGCTGTAAGAAGGCAGCCTCTCTGGTGGAGGGCCTCACAGACGTCCTGGAGGAGCCAGGTGAGGCTGCCGCCCTGAAAGAACCTGTCTTAGAGGAAACGGGGTGCGGGGTCTGGGAAGGGCTGGAATCCCCTGCTAGGGCTTTGCAGAGAAAATTGTTTCCCCACGTGTAGGAGGCACGGGAGCAAGCAGCCCTGAGTCGGAGAGGCTGTTTCTCAGTCAGCAGGGATCCAAGTTCCTGCTGTCCTACCCATTGCCATTTCCATCAGGGTTGCCTCATAGGCTGGGACAGCTGCTTGGGCTCCTGCCCTCACTTCTGCTTTGCAGATGTTAGCAAGCAGGAGAAATGAAGGGCAAAGGCAGTGACCAGCCTCATAAAAACTGGGTAAATATTCTGGGTCACTGGCTGGAGATTTCATCTCTGTAGTTCTGAGGGATGGATGGGTGGTGATGGGGCAGGAGCCCATGGGCTTGGGGTCAGAACCCTGGGTCCATGCTTGGCCCTCTCCAGACTCTGTGATGGTCAGCCTGTGTCCTAACCTTTTACTGTTCCTTGGTTGTAAACAGGGATGCTGTTGTGTTCCCCAGCTGGATCATCTTCTGGGTTGAGTGAGGGAGTATATGAGAGGCACCCTGACCCCCTGCTGTTACCAGGCGGACTAGGGAGCCCCAGAGACCCTGAGGATATCCCAGTGCCACCCGATGCTCGTGAGTGACCAGCTGGGCCTTAGATGGGGAGGTGGGTGTGCTGCGGAGGCAGTGTGGGAGCCAGAGGGAGGCCAGGGAGGGGGGCCTCGAAGTCCATTATGCAAATGGGACTCGGTCCTGTATAGTATCATGACATGAGTGTATTACTTTTGAGTTAAGAGTTCTCTTAAAAAATAGTAGTTATACATGTTTATCACATGATGAGGAAACATTGATGTATGAAGAAAAAAGTAATCTCTTGCAGGGTGCAGTGGCACACACCTGTAGTCTCAGTGGCTCAGGAGGCTGAGGAAGGAGGATCACAAATTTGAGGACAGCCTCAGTGACTTAGCAAGGCCCTGAGCAACTTAAAATAAAATATGAGGGCTGGGGATGTGGCTCAAGTGGTTGAGCGCTAGCCTAGCATGTGTGATTCTCGGCACCACATAAAAATAAAATAAAGGCATTGTGTTCACCTAAAACTAAAAATTAAATATTTAAAAAATAAAATAAAATCTGAAAAGGGTTGGGGAGGTGGCTCAGTGGTAAAGTGGCCCTGGGTTCAATCCCTAGTACCAAAAAAAAGTTACATCCCCTCTCCTCATGCCCTCTAAAAATAGCATCCTGGGGTGTGGCTGCCCGCCTTTCTGCACGTGGCGCATGTTTGCAGAGTCGGCTGCCTGTTTCCTAGAAAACAGTGCTCACTGCTCATGGGGCGGCCCTCCCTGGGCTGTGGTCGGTGGCTCCTTGGCTTCCTGGCACCCCCTGTGCAGCCCGGTGACCCTGCCCTCGGGGCAAGGAACTGCAAATAGTTTTGACCCGGGTGCACGTGTGGTCTCCACAGCTGCTCTGGTGCACAGGCTGTGCCTGCCCTGCCCTGCCCTGCCCTGCCCGTCGGCCCTGCACTGGTACCGTGCCAGGTCACTGCCCGTCTGGAGGGCAGCAGAAAGCACTGCCTCCTCCGAGGCTGGAGCTGGCACTTTTATGGTGGCTCTGCCCCGTGAGGTGCAGGCCTGCGTGGTGTGAGTGTGCTGCGGCCTGTGAGGGAGGCCGCAGGTCTGTCTGGCCGCTCTGAGTCCTGCAGTGACAGCATGTCTCCCTGCAGCGCTGCCCTGCCTTCTCCCAGCCTGGCCTGCGCTGGAACCCATGCTCCTGGATCAGGGGAGCAACGGGGGAGAGAAGAACGACGAGGCCAAAGCGCAGCCGACGGTGGGTGGGGGCCCTTGGGTGTGCTGGGGCTGACCTGCTCACAGGGTCCGTCCCTCCTGGCCCTGGATGCTGTTCCCTCCCAGGGCAGGAACTCTCCCACAGCAAGGATTAGGACCCTGAATGCCCACTGCCAAGGCCAGGAAGCCTGCTTTGGTGGAGACCTGAGGGTAGGACCCACAGGAGGGCGTTGCTCCTGCAGTGCAGGGAGGGTCTCCCGCCTGCCCGCCTGCCCTCCGTGGGCTTGGGTGGAGGCCTCAGTGAGGGCGACCTTGCCTTTCTGTTTCAGCCGTCTTTTCCGGAGGAACCTCTGCACTCTGAGGAGTGGGCCCACCTGGATCCTGCAGAGGAGAACATGAAGAGCTACAGGAAGCTGCTCCTGTGGGGTGAGGCTCGCCTCCCACAGCCCGCACTCCCCGTTTGGGTGGGAGATTCTGACCCCATCCCGGGGGCTTCCTTGGGACACTGGGGATGTTTTAAATGTCTGAACTTGGGCTGGTTTGCCAAGGTCCCACCCTTACCTGAGCTCTGCCTGGGTCCTGGGTTCCACTTGCAGCCCCTGCCTGCGGGATTGGAAGCCTCTGAATTGAGAAAGCTCTCCCAGCTTCCAGCCACCAGTGCTCCCCACTTTGTGGTGCAGAGATGAGGCTTCTCAGCCTGTGGGCCTAGTGAAGGGTCTGTTTGATAAAAGTTGGTGCCACAGAGCCCTCCTTTGCAGGGGGCTTCCTGAGCCCTTTGTGGTTCTGATTTTGTTTTTTCATTTGTGCTGGGGGCTGGCCCAGGGCTTCCTGCACAGTAAGCACATGCTCCACTGAGCTACGCCCCCAGCCAGTTTTATGTTCTTACGTTTGATTTGCTTCCCCTCAGACTCTGTTTACCACCCAGCTTGTGGGCCCTCCAGCCTCACCCAAGCACAGCCTCTTCTTCCTCCGCCTGCCTTATTCTTGGAACCCTAGCTTTCCAGGGGCTTGGTCCTGGCCCGCCAGCCTCGGGGAGTGAGGCCGGCTGCTTTCTGTGTGGTCCTCTTAGAGTTGCTTTGTCTGTTGAACCTCAGGGTACCAGTTTGCCCAGCCTGATGCTGCATGCAGTCTGGAGGCAGAGGAGCAGCCCCTTGTGGAAGGAGAGGCACCTGGAGGCAGCCTCCCAGGTAAGGGCACCTTAGAAAGTGGTGAGTAGGGTAGAGCATGCACCTTTCTTTCAGGCAGGTGCCCCCCCCCCCCCCCCAGCCTTGGCTTCACCTGTGTTGGAACAGGAAGCAGGCATCATGTCTTAGGGATCTCTTGCTGCATGACAACTACCCTAAAACTTGGTCACCAGAAAGAACAGCAGAATTACTTGTGAGGTGTGGGCTGCTGGGCAGAGCTGTACTGTGGCCACTTGGTCTTCAGGGCCGCATGGACCTCTGTAGCCACCTGGAACCTATCTGGGGCTGGAGTCTCCCTACCTGGGGAGACTCTCCATGGTCTCTCCCAGTGCTAGACAGGCCTCCCCAGGTCAGCAGCTGGGTTTTGGGGGTGCACTCGAGGAGTATAAGCACACTTGTTGAGGCTCTGCTGGCCTTCTGCATGCTGATGTCCCTGGGCACAAGGCCACATCCATGTGGAGAGCCCAAAGGTCTGGCTCTCGGGAGGAATTTAGGCCCCATGCAGCCAGTGGGCTTTTGCTGGGCTCTCTGGCCCTCATTCCCCGACACCATGGCTGTGTGCCTCCATGCCAGTCCTCCTGCAGTCAGGGTGGCTGCTCCTGGGGTCACTTCCCCAGCAGCAGGGTGGAGAAGGTCCTGCTCACTGCCTGCTTATGCTGGTGGTCACACAGCCCTTGGCTGCTAGGAGGGGCCATTTTTTTCAGGCAGCAGGGAGCTGGAAGAGGGTGACAGAGGCCGCCAGGTCAGGGCCTCACGTCCCACACCCTTTCCCCTCCTTGCTCAGGCCTTCTTTCTTTAGTGCTGCGAGGGCAGTGTCCAGGCTGGAGCGCTTAGTCAGGGCTACTCACATGTGGACCTTATTTCAGGCAGCGGGAAGCAGGAAGAAGGCACAGAGAACTTGTGCGAGGAGGGCTCTGCAGGCCAGGACAGTGGCTCACAGGAAACGCTGTCAGAGAGGCTGGCAGGGGACGCAGGGGACACTCCTGCAGACCCCCCAATGGATACCAACCAGGAGGAGGAGCAGCCCGGGAAGGCGCCAGACACCGTGGGAGAGGACTCGGGCTGCGCCAGCCCCTCCCAGAAGCCAAGAGACCCCTGCCCTTCAGAGGAAGACCAGGGCGAGGCCAGTCCAGACAGCCCACCGCAGGGCTCTGGGACCAAGCGGCCCCACCCAGAGGATGAGGGGGAGCAGGGACCCGAGTGTGCCTCCAGCCAGAGCAGCCACCAGCCTGGGGACGCCATGGAGTCTGAGGCAGATGGCCGTGCTGCCACGCCCCCAGCTGGGCAGGACGCGGGCACCTCTGCCTCAGGCGGTCCTGAGGCCGAGGAGCCTGGAGTGTCCGGAGAGAAGCCCTACCCCTGCAGTGAGTGTGGGGAGGCCTTTGCGTGGATCTCGCACCTCATGGAGCATCACAGGAGCCACGGCAGCAAGAAGCTGTGCGCCTGCCAGGGCTGCTAGACGGATCCCCAGGAGCCTTTCTGACCTGGCCCCGCCCTGCCACAGTGAGTTCAGTCTGGGGGGAGGGTGGGCCTGAGGCCTGGAGACAAGCCACCAGGCCAGTGTCCCTGGAGGTGACAGTGACTGGCTGGGAATCTCAGAATGTATGGGGGCTCCTTCCAGACACTTGGGGGTGGTCTTCCTGTGGTCTTTGGACAAACATCAGCTTGTTTCCCAAATGGGCTGACGTGGCCAGAGCACCCACGGAAAACCCCACCCCATCCACCACGGGAAACCCCGACCCCACTGTCCTGCAGCCACGTCCATACCTCCGTGTGCCGGCCGTGGCCCTTGTGCAGTTAGAGTCCCCGGTGTGCGTGTTCTGTGGGCAGTCTTGGAGGCTTCACCTCTGCTGCTCCTGTTTGAGCTCCCCAAGTTTGTTCAGGCAGAATTCTTGCCAGATGTTCTGGCCTTTCGTAAATATGTGACGTCGAGTTCACTTTTGAATCCTGAAAAGCTGAAACTTTCCTCGTTCAACTCGTGCGTCTTTGCCTATACGGAGTGGCTTACCAAGATCACCGAAATGCTTGGAGCCTAGTAATGCATTTTCTGACTATGGGTTCCAGCCCATCAGTGAATTGTGAAATCAAACTAGAGGGTGGCCAACAGCATTACCAAGCAATGAAGTRGAATAAACTAGGTCAGAATGCATCACGTAGTGAAGGCAGTATCATTTTGTGGAGTTCCAGCTGTGTATCTAACTGTGAGAACTGGCTTCTATGTAGGATGTCTCTCTTACCAGGGGGCGTTTGCAGTAGGTTGGAAACACTAACAAAGGTTGAGGAAGCTTCTGTCTGCCTGAGCAAAGGGAACTTAACTCCTTGGGCTACGTGAGGTGTCTTGATTTTGCATTTAATCTCAGATTATAGTATTGTTTCTGTTGCCTGAGCATAAATTTAATTGCTCCTGTAGATAAACGGTGCCTCTTTCTGTCACTGTGTTTGAGCCAGCAGTTGTGTRACGACCCCTGAGTCATAGGCTTGACGTAATAAAGTATTTATTTCTTCACTCACATTACAGCTGGACATCCTGACTGTTGCCTATGTGTGTTGGTGGGAGGGGCCCCTGCTTCTTGCTGTAACCCAGGGATCCGCTTCCGCTCTCCAGTCCTTGAAGGGAAATGAGACTGTGGGCCCCTCACTCATAAGGGCCCAGGTACCCATCTCTACCAGTTACTGAGCCACATTCCCCTCTGCCTGTCCACCTCAAACCAAGTGTGGTTCTGGCAATAAAAAAGCCTAAATAGACTCTTCCAGCTCTCATGCCCACTCAGCCTTGCTGAGGCTGGCTTTGAATTCATGATCCTTCTGCCTCAGTCTCCTGAGCACCAACACACCCAGCACATCTGCCTTCTTTGAAGACGGGCCCACGCACACCTGTAATCCCAGTCCCTCAGGAGGCTGAGGCAGGAAGATGGCCAGCCTCAGCAACTTATTGAGGTACTAATCAACTCGGAGAAAGCAAGGCTTCCCATCACAAAGGGAAGGTCAAGAAGCTGACCAGAGGACCTAAGTCACCATGCTGCCACTGGCCAGCCACATGTGAAGGGAGCACCTGAAGTGTGGCTGGTGAACTGGGAGGCACTGAGTGTAAGTACACACTAGAGAAGTAAAGTATCTCCTTTTTTTTATACTGACGTGTCAGAATGGAAATGTGGTGCATGTAGGGGTACATACTGAGCTAATTTTATCTATTTCTATTTTTCTTTTTTTGATGGAACCCAGGCGTGCTCTATCACAGAGCTACACCCTCAACCCTTTGATTGATTTTTGAGACAGTCTTATCAAGTTGCCAAAGCTGGTCACAAACTTTGATCTCCCTGCCTCAGCCTCCTCAGTAACTGGAATTACAGGTGTGCACATTGTGCCCACTTCTTTCTTTTGGAATGGGACCAGAATATTTAATAAAGTTGCCCAGATAGCTTGCAGTGGTTCTGTTGGCAGTCTTTTGCAGCTTTTAAAGGACAGTGAAGGACTGCGCATGCATGCAGCTCACTGGTAGAGGACTTGTTTAGTATTCATGAAGTCCTGGGTTCCACCCCCAGCACTGCAAACAGCTACAAGGAAAGTGAAATTAATTCCCAAAAGGCTTTTCACAAGCTACCAAGGAGCAGTGTTGAAAGACTATTTGCAACATTTTCCCCCAAAAGCAATTTCAAGTTCACTAGGAATTGATATGCTAGCGCAGTGATTGAGGAAATCAGACTGACGCAAGCACAACTGATTACCACCCGGGATCCAAACCAAACAATGCAATTATTCCCCCCGCCCCCCATTACTGGGGAACCCAGGGGTGCTTTAGTAGTAAACCATATCCCCTGCCCTTTTTATTTTTTATTTTCAGGCAGGGTCTTGCTAAAGTTGCCCAGGCTGATCTTGAACTTATAAACCTCCTGCATCAGCTTCCAGAGTCACTGGGATCACAGGTGTGCATCACTGTGCCCGAGGCTATTTCTAATGAAGGCAACAGCCATGTAATGGTTATAATTGTCAGGAATACTGCTATTTGTGGATCCAGGCTTTAATGAAATACTGAGAGCTTTTAAATTAAACATAAAAATAGAAACTTAACGAATGGGGTGGGGGGGGGGGCAGAATACCAGGATGAAGAATCAATGAGGACACATTTCAGGAAAAGATTAACTTGAACACTTCCTCAAAGAGAAGTCTTAGAACAAATTGGAGTACCAATGTGAAGTGCCACTGAGCATGAGATGATGGCGGAACACAGGAGTAAACCCTCCCCTTTTTGTAATATCAGCATTTCTAATGCCTGTGAGTCCTGCAGCAAAGCCCTTTCAGAATCTGAGACATTCCATGGAAGCAGCTTTATGATTCAAGTTTCCCATACACAGCTTTTCAATCCCATTGCCACAGAAATTAAATTGCAAAACGAGATCAGTGATGTAAATTCTGTTTACAGTCTGCTGATACATTGGCATATGGAATTAGAAGTGTCTGGGATTGGCTGTTACATACCCGGAACAAGCAACTTCCACACAAATCAGCTTTGTACTGTCAAAGACAAGAATCCAAGGGGATTCCACAAAAATGCCATTCTCATTTCTGGAACATGCTGCTGTTCTTTAGTATTATCAGAGTCAACCTGAATATTCATGAGCATCCCTTTAAGAAAGAATGTAATGTAAACAAAAGCAAATTCTGACTTCATTTGGTTTTCTTACCTGAAAGGTATCTGTTGAATTTCTCAGGCCTTTGAATCTCTGGTTCAGACTGTTGAATGCTTGGACGCATGGCATCACCAGGCCCGGACATTCCTTTTTTCTCTTCTGCTCAGGGTCCTCAAGGTTGATTGTTTCCACCTTTTTGCGACTGTTTAGAACCTAAACCTGGGTGGCGCTAGGCCTTTCCGTCTGAGAACGTGGAGCGGGTGCTGCATCTTTCTTGTGAGAATGAACAGGCCGAGTCTGTGGGATGGACGAGCTATGGCTTCAGGCCTCCCCTGTCCCCAGCACCCATGCAGCTGTCTCCCCAGTGAGAGTTCTCGGGTGCTGGGTCAGGGAGGAGCTGTGGGCGAAGGCCTTGCTGCACTCCCCACACCCGAGGGCTTCTCCGGGTGCTGGGTGAGGTGGGTGCTCTGCCGGAAGGCCTCCCCACAGTCCTCGCAGGCACAGGGCTTCTCCAGGGAGGAGGTGGCCGCAGCACGCCTAGGGCTTCTCCCCGGCGGGTCCCGCGGTGCTTGATGAGCTGGTGGCTCTGGCTGAAGGCTCTGCCGCACTGGCTGCACTCGTTCGGCCTCTCCCGGTGTGGACCCCCTGGTGCTGGACAAGTTGGGTGACCTGGCTGAAGGTCTTGCCGCACTTGCGGCAGGCGTCGGGCTTCTGGCCCGAGTGCGTGCTCTGGTGCTGGGTCTGGGAGGAGCTGTGGGCCAAGGCCTTCCCACGGTCCCCGCACTCGTGGGGCTTGGCGCCCCGTGCCTCCTCCTGGGCTGGGTCAGTGGGGCCATCTGGTTGAAGGTCCTGCCACACCGAGGGCACCGATAGGCTTCTCCCCGGGGTGGACCCTCCAGTGCTTGGTGAGCGCAGAGCTGTCCCGGAAGCCTTTTCCACACCGGCGACATTGGCCAGGCCTCCCTCTGCACTTGCGCGGGCTCAAGCAGTGCCGAGCTTGTAACCCAGCTGTAACCGCAGGCTCTTCACCTTCCTGGCATCTGCACAGTTTCTCTTTTGCATAGATTTCCTGTTGCGCATTTACCTTTGAGTCCAGCTTCTGCCTCTTTCTGGGTGTTCTCCACATGTGGGGACCTGGCTTTTCAGGAGTCGCTGGATGAGCTAGGAGATCAGGGTAGGACACAAGGCTCCCCCAGACCCATTCCCCCGCTGCTCCTGCCCAGGCTGGAGGGCTGCCCGTCTCCTGGCTCTCTAGGCTCTCAGGACTCCACTCCCAGGGACCTGCACACTACCCCACAGGAGTCTGCACCAGAACAAAACTGCTGGACAGCTCTTCTGAGGTGCTTTCCTTTGGGGCAGAAGGGCTGATTTCTTGTCTGTTTTCTAAGTCTAGAAGAAACAAAAAAGTGGAAATGTCCCTTGATCCCTTTCTAGGGGGAAAGAGTTTGTAGTATTTAGGGAGAGAGCAGAATTAAACTGGTCTTGAAAATTCTGAGGTACAAAAAGTTTTTCATGTTGTGCAAACCAGGAGAGGAACAGGAAGAGGGGTGGGGAAAGGCAGCCAAGGAGACAGTGCTCAGGGGCTACTCCCAGAGGCACCAGGCTCCCGAGCAGTGATGGCCAGAGCAGTGATGGCAGCCAGCTACGCAGCCCCCACAGTGCCAGGTGGCCAGAGAACAATGCCACATGGGAAGGACCCCAGACACCTTCCACCACCATACCCATCTGGTGTCTCCTCAACAGCTCAGCTCAGACATGAAGGAACTCGGCAGGTCCCCAAGCCAGACCCAGCTGTGGAAGCCGACACTGGGAGGACAGATGTGTGACCTCGGTGCAGTGGAGCGCTTGGACCTGGTTTATCTGTCTCACTCAGTGGGATCCTCAAAGGCAGGGCATCTGCCCACCTCAATAACCACAGTGCCTCAGCCGATGAAGCAGTGTCCCCCTGTCCTCCTGCGCGGGAGGTGTGAGGTGGGCACCTTCCCCATACTATGTTATGCTCCAGTGAAACTTAAAAAAAATAATGGCTCCCAGGATGTCCACATCCTAACCCCCAGGCAAGGAGGAACCGAGTGATGGAGAAACCAGCCTCTGCCAACTCTAGAGATGGACCTGGCCTTGTGCCAGGGAATGCAGGTGGCTTCTAGGGGCTGGAAAAGGCAAAAAAGAATTTCTCCCAGGAGCCCCAAGAACACGCCCGTGGGCTCCATCAGGGCCAGCGAGAGCTGTGTGAGAATCTGCTCTGCTTTCAGCCACCAAGTKCACGGTGATTTGTTACAGCGCAACAGGAAGCTACGCTGGGCGAGAGCTGGCTGCTCTGAGGCTGGAGGACCCTTCTGTGACCCTCCCACACTGGCCAAGCCCCTCAGAACTTGGTGACAAGCCACTCTTCAGAGAGGGCCTGGACACACCCACCTCCTGCACACTGCTCGATGAACCCAGAAGCAGAGCAAAAGGACAGAGCAGAATGACCCAGGCAGTGCTGGGTCCTCGACCAGTCAATAAACGACACTGGTTTAAACTGCTGAGGACAGAGCCTGTCACACAGAGCTGTCTGATGGGTCACTTGGGTTCCTCTGCCTCGAATGCTGCTCGCCCAGATGTCTAGCCCAGGCTCTGGCTCCCGCCCCCTCCCTGAAGCTGTCCATCCCCCTGCTGTTACCCCACTGCCTTCCTGCTTTCATTTCTGGGCACTCGCACAACCTGTAGTCATCTCACACTGCTGTCACCTGTAGTCACCTCACACTGCTGTCACCACTGTACTAACTGTCTGCCCTCCCCCAGACTGTAGGTGCCCTGACGGTGGCAACTCGGTCTCATGGCCAGGAGTGCTGGGTGGGTGATCACGTGGAGAGCAGCCCATCTACTGTGCAGAACTAGAAAGCAG